AAGAACATCTCAGCAGAGCATGTGAACCAAGCCTGCGTGGACAGTGAAGAGGAGACAAGATGTGAAGATATCCCTTTGGAAAGATTGTGCTGTGAGAAGGAGGACAGCTGGTAGATGCTCCAGTCTAAAAAAATGGAAGGATATGCACTAAGGCTCAGTTCCACCTTTCCCAGATGGAATCAGTGGAGACATTTTAAATGTTGAGGACCTTGCTGCACTGCTCCAAGACAGAGGTGAGACTCTGGGAAGGGGTTAGAAAAGATGGAGATAGCAAAGGGCAAGGGGAGGAGGGAAAGAGATCCAAAGAGAGAGAGTGGTCTGCTGGACACCCTTGTAGGGTAGACAGACTAAGCAGTGATTCATTTGGGAAAATGAAGTGCCCAGCATCACCTTCTAGATTCTGTACATGTATGTGGATGTCCAAGTTCTCAGGGCGCCTGGGTGGCTCAGTTGGTTAAACATCTGCTTTCAGCTCAGGTCGTGACCCCAGGGTCCTGGGATCGAGTCCCACATCAGGCTCCCTACTCAGCGGGGAGTCTGCTTCTCCCTCTGCCCCGCCCCCACTGCTGTGCTCTCTCACTTGTGCGTGCGCTCTCTCTCTATCTCTCAAATAAATAAATAAAATCTTTAAAAAAATGTTCAAGTTTTCAATCTGGTAATATAGATTGCTACCTGTATACCCATCCAGATATTATGGCCCTAGTTCAGGAGACACATACACACTCACAGTCACGTGCACACGTCTAACAAGCCTGTTAGACATCTCAAATATCACACATTCAGAGTGTACACACACACACACACACAGAGGCAGAAGCAGAATCTGTATTCCATTAACATGCCTTGGACGTTTCTCCTTGCCCCCTTGTCTTCTCCATCTTGCCCGCCAGAAGGCCTGCTCAGGGGCTATAAACTCCTTGCTAAGGGCCAGGGTAACATAAATATGTTACAGTTGAGCATATGATGGTAAATGGTGGACTGGGTGATTTGGAGTAGCTTGCTGTCCATCCTGAGAAGTAGTCACCACCCAGCTCCATTTGTTGCCCTACTGGTTTCCTACTGCTGTTGTAACAAATTGCTACAGACTTAGTAGCTTAAAACAACACAAATTTATTATCCTATAGTTCTGGAGATGAGAAGTCCAAAAGAGGTCTTATGGGGATTACAATACTCCGATTTATAAGAAAAATATGTATGTGGTTATTGAGATGACCAAAATATATTCCTCATATATATTCGGTCTTTGTCTAGGATTCCTGGCTCACAGCTGCCAAAACTCTTGGAATTTCATAAGTGTTGAGAGTGATAAAGATATCTTTTGTTATGTTTATGACATAAGCACCTAAGTTTTGGAAAGCACCTAAGGTCGGGGGCTGGTTGCCAGTAGAACCAACCACGTGTTAGAGGGTTGGAACTTTCAGTCCCTTCTTCACCTCCAGAGAGGGGAGAGGGGCTGGAGAGTGAATGCAAACACCAAGGGTCAATGATTCCACAACCATGCCTGTGTATGGAAGTACACCCCCCACTGGAATTAATACCAGAACCTATTTAGGTATAAATGAACTCAAGGCGTTGGCAGGGTTGCCTTCCCTCTAGAGATTCTAGAGGAGAATCTGTTCCTTGCTTTTTCCTTCTTCTAGAGACTGCTCATATTTCTTGACTCATGGCTTCCTTCCATCTTGAAAGCCAATAATGACATCACTTTGACCTCTGCTTCTGACCTCTCCTTCCTTGATTGTCTCCCTCTTCCACTTATAAAGACCTTTGTGATTATATCGGCCCACCCAGAAAATGTAGAAGAACCTCACCTCAAGATCTTTACCTTAGTCACATCTGCAGTCTTCTGCCATGTAAGGTAACATAGTCAGAGGGTCCAGGGTTTAAAATGTGGACATCTTTGGGGGACTATTAACTCTGCCCATCACAGTTGCTAAATGAGAATGCAGGCCTGCAGATCTTCCAATTCTTTTCAAGATAAGCTAGAAATCTGGATTTTTATACGACTGTGCAGAAAGAACATGTTGAGACTGCTCCTTAGAAAGGTCTGCTTGTAAGATCAACCCTTGGCTGGCATCTGAGAACTTGGCTCTTAGAGTGTTTTCAAGTCAATGGTTAAAGGATCAGGATGGTTTGTTGTGCCTAGACTGTGTGTGTAAAGAATGTGGTTTATGCTGTAGGGGCGCCTGGGTGGTTCAGTTGGTTAAGTGTCTGACTCTTGATTTCAGCTCAGGTCATGTTCTCAGGGTTGTGAGATCGAGCCCCGCATTAGCATTAGCATTAGCGTGGAGCCTGCTTACGATTCTCTCTCTCCCTTTCTCTCTGCCCTTCCCCCCCTCAAATAAATAAATAAATAAATAAATAAATAAATAAATATATATATATATATATATTTTAAAGAATATGGTTTATGCTGAACAGCTGCTTTTCTTCTAGGAGTCTGGAATTTGGGTATGTGCAAGGCAGAGGTGTCTCTGTGACCAGCCCTCACCATGAACCTTAGGTGCTGAGTCTCTAACAGGCTTCCTTGGGCAGAACCACTGCAGGGAAATGTTGCTCCATTTTCATTTTGGAGGAAGAGAATGCTGTGTGAGCCCTCCTGGGAGGGAGAGGACATAGATTCTGCTTGTGTCTTTTCCCTTTATGGTCCAGCTGTGCAGCCTTCCTACATCACTGTAATAAACCTTAGCTAGGGGGTTATTTATTAACTTTATGCTGAGTCCTTCTAGTAAATCTCCTGACATGGGGGTGGTCTTGGGATGCTCCAGCACAAAGGTAGTTCCTGCTTTTTTTCATATTCTAAACGCTGTGGGGATGAACACTGTGAAGGTCAAACAAAACAATTCTGAGAGGGAACTTGGTCTCCAGGCTGCCAATTTGCAGCTTCTGGCTTCTTAGAGTTCTACCCTAATTTTATTCCCATCTCTGAAGTGAAACAATTCTGACACACATTTAGCAAATGCTTACCACGTGCTGAGCACTATGCTAGGATCTAGGGACGCAAAGATGAATAAGATCCAATCCTTACCTGGAATGAGTTTGCAATTTCTAAGACGGACCTGTACACAAATAACTGCAAGCTGGTGTGCTAGCACGCTACAGAAAACAAATAAGATGCTCTAAGAATCCATGCAGCTGCTTACATGGTGCTTTGCTATGTACACATCCCTACATTCATCTGGTCCTCACAATCTGAAGTTATCCCTGTTTCACAAAGGAAGAACCTGAACCTGAAGGTCAAAGGAATTTAAGGTTTTGCCTGAGAGAGCTCAGGTCTTTTACCAGACTCATTCTGCTGGGATTGGGGTGCACAAGGGGAAAAGGAGGGCCCGGGGAAGGTCTGCAAGAGACCATATGTTCTGTAATCACCAAGGGTCCTTGCTCTGTAGAGACCATGACCCCACTTCCCAAAGCAACTTCACTATATGCCCTTGCCACTTTCCATTTTTATGAATGAGTCTTGTTCTCCCAACCATGTGGCAAGTGCATAGGGAAGAGAGACCTTGTCATGCTTCACTGTGTTCCTTTCCATGCCTTGCCCAAATAAGGTGTCAATTAGGAATTCTGTTGGTAGGAAGTTGCCATTGCTAGTTATTTTAGCCTACTGTGCTGTCAGACGGCTCTGGTCCTAGGAAACAAGGGATTAGCCTGGGAGACAGGTTTCTTCAGGGCATGCCGATGGGTACATGGGACACTTCCTGATGATTTCCCCAGTGAAGGGAGATAGCTAGAAAATGTAAGGTATGTAAGGGAAAGCAGAAGTAGATGGATAAGGGGCGCCTGGATGGCTCAGTCGATTAAGCAGCTGCCTTCCGCTGGGATCATGATCTCAGGGTCTTGGGATCGAGCCTGTATCCGGCTCCCTGCTCAGCGGGGAGTCTGCTTCTCCCTCTGTGCTCTCTCTCCCTCTCCCGCTCTCTCTCTCTCAAATAAATAAATAAAATCTTAAAAAAAAAAAGTAGAGGGAAAAGGCCATTCTTGCAACAAATGGAAATGAAATGTGGAAAGAAGGAATAACTGCTGTTGAGGCCTCGGCCTGAGCGCCAAGGGCGTTAAGATGCCGGTCACAGATCCCTGCGGGGAACAGGAGAAGATGAGAAAGTCAAAACTCAGCTATGATACCAGAATCTCCACGTTTTTTCCTCATCAGAGTCAACACACATTTTGATACCTCACAACAATGCAGACAGTGTGGAATCACTGTCTCCTTTTCACCGATGAATATGCCAAGGACACAGTGAGGTTAGGTCACCTGCCCAAGGTCACATAGGGCAGTCCGGATGCGAATCCAGGTCCTGAGGGCTTCCGCCCAGAGCTCTGGCGGTTCTGGCAGCAGGGAAGCGGGCAGGTGGCGGTGGCGAGGGCTCACTAATAGTGACGGCGTTGATGACGGGGCCACTGACCCGCCTGTAGCCAGCGAGCCGCGCCAGATTCCTGGGGTCGGCCCTCGCAGACAGGCTGCAGGGCTCGGCTCTGTGGGGTACTCTGAGGGATTGGCACCCTGGGGCTCAGACTGTGCAGCTCCTGGTCCTCGGCCGCCCACAGGCATTGGCGAAGGCCAGCCGTCCCGGCCGAGGACCAGCAGGCCGTGTGCCGCTGTAAGGGGTTCCCCCGGAACTGGCCAGAGCCTCCAGGGAGGCAGGGCGGGGAGGGGGGCACGGGGGAAGGCCCGCGGCAGCCACTTCGCAAGGACAGCCTCTACAGCACTCGGCCTAAGTCAGAACACCTGGGCGATGGGCGCCCCCATGACTCAGGTGCAGGCGAGATGCGCCCTGGCACCGCGCCCTGCACCCCTGCAGTGGAGATCGGGAGCCCAGGGTGTCAGCTCAAAACCTGGAGCGAAGGGCTAAGGCCCGGATCGCTACACCTAACCCAAGTCCGACAGGTGAGAGGCCAGGACAGGGCAGGGGGAGGGAACCCGCCCTGACCCCACCCTTCGGGGGCCGCCTACCATTCGGGGGCGTGGCCTCCGGGCCGCTCAGCCCCTAGTGGGCGAGCGCAGCGCGCGGGCCCCGCCCCCCGCCTATAAGAGCGGTGCGGCACTGCAGCTAGCGCAGTTCTCACTGAGACCCGTCACCCGGACTCTACGTGAGACCCACCGCCCGGACTCACCATGGTGAGTGCGGCCCCGCGGGGATCGCGCCCCTCCCCTTATTGCCCTTCTCCTTCGGGACCCTCCATCCCGGGATGCTCCGGACCCCCCATCCGACGTTCCGGGTCTCGAGGAGGTGCGAGGGTTTGTGCATTCCCCCACCCCCACTCTCTTCTGGTGACTTTGGCCGAGCCGTGCTGTCCACTTTTGGAGGCTGGGGAAGGGGAATGGAGTGGGGTGGGATTCTTTGCTAGCTGAGAGGAGTCCTTCTGGAAATCGCCTCCTGCTCCACCAAGCATTTGTGCCCTCACCCTCCTGAAGGGGAGTCGTGATCCCGCGCCCAGTCCTTTCCGCGGATGAGGGAGACCCGCTGGGCTGCCCTCCGCCCCTAGCCTCCCCCCCCCCCCCCCAGCCGGACCCCCGCTCCCTGGATCTGACCGAACACGTGCTTAGCCCAAGAAGGTGGTAGGGGGTCAGATTACTTGGTCCAGCATCCCCTTTTCCTCCGACTGTGTGTGCATCCCTCCTACCCACAGGCCCCCCCCCCCCGTGACTCAGCACCCCGCTTCTGAGCCGGGAGGGGTGGCGGGAATGGGGTTCGGCGTTGTGAGGCGAGCCGGCCCCTCTCCAGCCGGAGCCGAGTGAACGGACGGGCAGAGACAGCTGGCGCTGAGCGAGAGCGCGGGCCCAGGCCAGGTTGGGGGGAGGGGAAAGAGGTGTGTGTAGGGGGGTGGTATTTATAGCCCAAGAACGGGGGCCGAAATCCAATCTTCACTTTCGGCTGGGATGTAACTGGAAAGAATCTAGAAGGGGGGCGAATGCAGGGCCCGGGTGCAGGATGGCGCTCACCCTCTGCAGGGCAAGGCGGGTTACCTCTGGGGCCTCACCGCAGGTTCCGCTTCCTTTTCTGGGTATTTGGAAACCGTCACCCCGCCATTTCGGTGTTGGGAAGGGAGGCTGCGCTGGGCCCTGCGCCGCACCGCTTTGGCTCTTTAGGGGTTAATTTCAAACTGGCAGGGATGAGCCTAAGGCGGCGAGTGCCCCAGTGCCCACAGCCCTTATTGCCTGTGCCTGCCATCTGCACTCTCTGCTATTTCCGTGAGGGCTACACGGTGGATGAAGGTGGTGAAGACACCCAGAGTGCGGGGGTGGAGGTGGGGAGAGGAGCCAGCTGGGATTGATCCCCAGAGCCAGATGGGATTTAAAGGTGGGGGAGAGGGCATCCTGATGGCCAGGGTGTGTGGTCAGTTGATGGCAGACCAGAAGGCTGAGACATCTCTGCAGCCCACAGGAAAGAAAGGGGGAGAGGGTTCTAAGAAATTCTAGTTGTTCCCCTTGAGGGCTTCTGGCTATAAACTCATGCCTCGGGCAAACCTGTCCCTTCTCAGGCTGGAGAAGGTGGCTTTGGGAGTAGAAAGCTGGAAACAGCTGAGAAGTCGTGTGTCCTTGTCTTTTACTGCAGTGTCTGCCTGTCTTTCATATGCACTTGCCCTCTCTGTCCTCCCTGAGTGTCTTGTCAGTGTGGCAGGGTCATGTGGAGCCACAGCTCTTACTTGACAAGTTTCCCACAGAGGAGTGAGCTAAGGGATTTGCCCTACTGGGTGGGTGTTTCCAGTTGTTAAGTCCTATGCGGGGGAGCCTGGGCAGGCTTCTAGCCTCTTCCGACCTCTGCCCAGCCCCAGGCCTCCACTTTCGCCAACTGAGCCATCCTCGCCAGTAGGTGATCGGGTGGAAGAGAGGCTCATGAGGTGAGGACTGCAGATGTGGGGCTTATGCTGTGTCCCCTCTCTTTATCCCTCAGCGCGAATGCATCTCAGTCCATGTGGGGCAGGCAGGTGTCCAGATGGGCAATGCCTGTTGGGAGCTCTACTGTCTGGAACATGGGATCCAGCCTGATGGGCAGATGCCCAGCGACAAGACCATCGGTGGAGGGGATGACTCCTTCACCACCTTCTTCTGTGAAACCGGTGCTGGGAAGCATGTGCCCCGGGCTGTGTTTGTGGATCTGGAGCCCACTGTGATTGGTGAGATGAAGATGGGGTGGAATTGAGGGGAGCAGACAGTGACTCTAAGCTCTCTGGAGAGCTGGTGTCTAGACCTGGCTTTCCTGGTGCTACACACTCTTTGCCCTGTTTGCAGCTGCAGAAGGGAGGCTGATCGCAAGCCAGCCTGGGTGGCGGGCTCCGGGTTTCTCACACGCTGGTATCACAGGCTGGCAGAAGGATGAGCTTTTCCATACATCTGACCGCAGCTGCCACACTGGGGGAGGGAGATCCCCGCTGAGCACAGCCTTGTGGTTTGTGCCCTGACGATGTGTTTGCGCCCTTCCAGATGAGATCCGAAATGGCCCATACCGGCAGCTCTTCCACCCAGAGCAGCTCATCACCGGGAAGGAGGACGCTGCTAACAACTATGCCCGTGGTCACTATACCATTGGCAAGGAGATCATCGACCCAGTACTGGACCGGATCCGCAAGCTGGTGAGAATTTGGGTTGGAAGGGAGGGGGCTTTTGAGATGATGCTAATGGTCAGGAACACAGTTTTGTCAGGATCCATTTTGGGGGGAGTCATCTCTAATTTTATGTGTTCCAGAGCATGCTGCCACTATGAGATACTTTCTAGTCTCTGCCCTGAGTCCCGAAAGAGTTTAGGCTTTTGTGGAGCCAGAAGGTAGAGTTCTTCAGGCCCCTGGCCTACCTACACTGCTCTTTCTCTTTCCTGCCTTTCAGTCTGACCAGTGCACGGGACTCCAGGGCTTCCTGGTGTTCCACAGCTTCGGAGGGGGCACCGGCTCTGGCTTCACCTCACTCCTGATGGAGCGGCTCTCCGTTGACTATGGCAAGAAATCCAAGCTGGAGTTCTCCATCTACCCCGCCCCCCAGGTGTCCACAGCCGTGGTGGAGCCTTACAACTCCATCCTGACCACCCACACCACCCTGGAGCACTCGGACTGTGCCTTCATGGTGGACAACGAGGCCATCTATGACATCTGCCGCCGCAACCTGGACATCGAGCGCCCCACCTACACCAACCTCAACCGGCTCATCAGCCAGATCGTGTCCTCCATCACGGCCTCCCTGCGCTTCGACGGGGCCCTCAACGTGGACCTGACGGAGTTCCAGACCAACCTGGTGCCCTACCCTCGCATCCACTTCCCCCTGGCCACCTACGCGCCAGTCATCTCTGCGGAGAAGGCCTACCACGAGCAGCTGTCGGTGGCCGAGATCACCAACGCCTGCTTCGAGCCTGCCAACCAGATGGTGAAGTGTGACCCCCGTCACGGCAAGTACATGGCCTGCTGCCTGCTGTACCGGGGCGACGTGGTGCCCAAGGACGTCAACGCCGCCATCGCCGCCATCAAGACCAAGCGCAGTATTCAGTTTGTGGACTGGTGCCCCACGGGCTTCAAGGTTGGGATCAACTACCAGCCCCCCACCGTGGTGCCCGGGGGCGACCTGGCCAAGGTGCAGCGCGCCGTGTGCATGCTGAGCAACACGACCGCCATCGCCGAGGCCTGGGCCCGCCTGGACCACAAGTTCGACCTGATGTATGCCAAGAGGGCCTTTGTGCACTGGTACGTGGGCGAGGGCATGGAGGAGGGGGAGTTCTCGGAGGCCCGGGAGGATATGGCGGCCCTGGAGAAGGATTACGAGGAGGTGGGCATCGACTCCTATGAGGACGAGGATGAGGGAGAAGAATAGAACAGCTGCCTGGAGCCCACTCACAATGTTTATTGCAAAATCCTTTCGAAATAAACAGTCTCCTTGCACGGTTTCTTGTCCCCTCTGAGTGCTTGAGCTTCTGCTGCCTTCCCGTCTGTGCTGTGGCCGCCCGCTGCTTCTGCTGCCGCCCTCATTCTTTGCTGCCTATAACCCTTTTCCCTTCTGTGGCTGAAGGTGAGACCTGCCAAGGGGTCTTTGCCAGGCCCGAGGAAATGTGACCCCAGGGACCTTGATGTAAGACCCCTGGGGTGCCCAGGATGGTAGAGAGGAAATGAGGACTGACTCCCGGACCTGTCTGTCCAGCCACAAGCTGTTGAAAGATGCAAGTTTTCACTTCCTTTCCAAAGTAGGAGTTTAAGTCTAGCAGTTTCTGTATTTGAGTTAGACTGTTACCCTATTCTTCCTGCTGCTTCTGCATTCACCGACTCTGGAAGCTTGGCCCGGGCACCTCTGCGTGATGAGGGCCTGGGAGCGGGGCCGGGCTGGACCTCAGTTCCTGGGCATGGAGCCTAGTCATGAGCTTGGGGGATGGGAGGGGACAAGGGCGAGCTCCCAGGGTGGTCTGTGCCACCGCACCTCCGAGCAGCTTCGCACAGCCGTCTCTCTTGCTGCATTGCTGGGGCCTAGGGCCGTGCCATTAAAAGTCAGGTCGTCTCCCCTGTTTGTTCTTTTTTTCTGGCCTCAGCCTCTAAGCTAGCCGGGGGAGCCTCCCACCAGGGCCCTGGGGAAATTTCCAACATTGCTAATAGGCACCCCAGGACCCACATCGACGTCAGCACATGGGGGTGAGCCTGGCTGGGGAAGGGGGGCAGGGGATGAAGCTTCGATCTCCGGAGCAGAAGATGTCAGCCCTGCCCTGCCCTCCCCCTCCCTGGTGATTCAGGGACGCAGTGCCCTTCCCTCGGGAACAGGTCTCAAGCCCAGCAAAGGCAGGGCCCCTGTTTACTCAGCAGAGTAGGGCAGGAAGTGGCAGCTGGATACTGCCACACCACACTGGCCTCATTAATCATTAACCATGTGTGAGCTGGAACACTCTGGGAGAAACTGTGGGCCAAACGGCTGCCACCTCCACTCCCCTTGCCCCAGGGCTGAGGCTGGGAGAGACCTGTTAAGTTGCTGTCCAAAAGCTTCCTTAGGTGTCTCCACCCAGAAGCCCTTGCCTGGCAAACCGGCTGGGCTGCTGTGACTCAGCTACCCACTCCTGGGAATGAAGGAGAGAACAAATTGAACGTGCTTCTGGGGAGCCCTGGTGCCAGTTCTTAGCAGAGAAGCCAGCTTGATCCAGAACAGCTTTAAGTTTTTGAATAAGGCAAGCTAGAAGAATTGCCTCCTCCCAGCTAGCCAGATCTAAGATAAGGACACCTGTCTCCTTAGGCGGAATGACACAGTCATGCCATTCCTCACTACGCCAGTCCTTCTTCCCAGTCTGTTCCCTTGGAAATGGCAACCAGACCTCGGGCCCCTGGCACCTCTTCTTTCTCACTCCAGGAACAATGAGACTAAGAGGTACACCAAGCTGCTTTCACTTTATTCTTCTATTTATACATTCTCCTGCTCCCAGATGTGAAGGCAGACCATGATGTAAGCTCAGCAGTCCTGCTCAGAGCCTTTCTAGGTTCTTTCAGTTTCCCTTTCCCCATCTCCCACCCTCGTCCACCCCAACTCAGTCAGTCCCTCTGTCCAGTTGTTGCTCTTGGGAGATAAGAGAACAGAAGCAGAGAAATAAGACTGAGTTGACTGTCTCCATCCACCTGCCCCCAATGACAAGACAGCAGTCCTGGAGAGACTGGACGGAGATTCTAATGAGGGACGGGAGCCTCCTTCCAAGGCACAGGGACCACCTTCTCAACGTGGCCACTGGTTCGTTCAGATCTGGGTGCTGTGCTGGCCCGAAGCTGGGGGCTGAAGTGCCTCCAACTGACTGAGGAGGACAGAAATGGGAGGGCGCTGCTGGGGGTCTACAGTCATCATTGAGGTGAGCAGCTGCCGCAAGGCCGAAGAATGCCTGTGGAAGGAGGCAGGCAGGGTGATCAGAGGGTTCCTATTTTCCGTGCTAAGGTTCCAACTCCGCTAACGTCAGGGCGGAGTCTGAAATGGTTGGTGCCCCCTCTATTGCTCACCTGGGGCTCTGCGGGATGCTGAGTTGGTTCTGCACAGCAAGGGCCACACTGTCACCCTTCTGGAACACCATGTCATATGGGCCTTCCCCAAACATCATGGCATATAGCACGCAGCCTAGGGACTGAGCATAACTTGGTTATTCTTTGACAGGGGACCAATGGAGGTGATAAGCTAAAAAGAATATGCTGACCTCAGCCACATGACACCACCAGGGTCCAGAGAAACCGCCCGTTAGCTGGAGGCCTCTGCACCCCTTGACTAGCCACTGCTTTCAGCCCTGACACTTCGCTGTACTCGCTCTGTTCAAAGGGCAGGATTATACCACTTCCTGAGCAGCTGAATACAGTGTCAGTGACAGTTCCCAGGAAGGAAGTCGAGGGGGATGGGGACATACACCGTTCCTGGGGCCCCATGCACTCGAACCCAAAGCTCTGCCCCTCTGCCACACAGCAGGTACAGAGTAGCACTCCTCCCCACCCATGTGCCCAGCCTCACACTCCTCACCCAGACGTCAGTCCGCTCGTCGATGACACAGTGGCTCTGCACGGAGAAGAGCTCCGGGGCCCGGTAGGAAATGGTGCATCGCTGGGCTGCCCAGTCCTGGAACAGCTCAAACAAGGGGCACAGGTCACAGTCATGTGACCAAATTGGGGGATGCAAGAGAAAAGGTTGAGGGTGGGGAACAGGAGGGCAAAGGAACCTGGACACTCTTACCTGCAGGGTCAGAGCCTGGCGGGAGCCCTCCACGTGGATGCAAGCTTGATTCATGGAACCCAAGTCCATTAAAACCGGCTGCCCGTCATCTCCAAGCAAGATATTAGTGGGCTTCAGGTCCCTGTAGGGAAGTGGAAATGGCCCATGAGCATCCCTGGATAGGGAGGTTAGAATCCCTGGGGGCAAAAGAATCATGGGGACTGTTCCTTGGGAGGAGAGCAGAGACCTCTCATTCCTTTTGGTGAGGCTCTTCCTTTCTGCCCCATAAGCACACAGGGCCCTCCCACTGACCTGTGGGCGAAACCTCTGGCATGAATGGCCTCAAGGCCTCTGCAGATACCCAGCAGCAGCTGAAGGATTTGATCTTCAGTCAAGAAGTTGCCTTTGTCCTTCAACCTTTCTATCTCGTTCCACAGCGTACCCCTCTGCAACACAAGTGTCCCCATAGTTGGACATGTTTTCTGAGCCTCTGCTCCCTCAGCCTGATCCCTTCCCTGTGTCAGAGCCTAGCAACTCTTTCACCACACACACTACACACCTCCCAGTCCCACTAGACCCCAAATCTGAAGCGGTCAACCCCAGGACATGGTCTCTGCTTCCTAACATACTTGGCTACTCACACAGCCCTCGGTAGATGACTCTGTTGCAAGCCCCTCCATTGCCAGGAGACTTTCTGACCTTGAAGAAGGGCAGCAGCAACCAGGCCTCATGTTTAGTGCCCCGCTCCCTCAGACAAGAAGCCACAAGGCGAAGGATGTTGGGGTGATGGAAGAGGCGATGCATGTCTGCTTCTCGTTGGGCCTCCTCCCGATCCTGCTGCTCGTGACACAGGATCCGCTTCAGGGCGTAGAAGTGTCCATCATGCAACCCCTCCACTAGGTCCACATAGCTGAACCCACTGTGGGCCAAAGGGGTCAGTGAAGGACCACGGTCACCTCCCATACGGCTCGGACCCAGAGGAACTCCCTGGGGAGAAGGGGAGGGGGGGTATCTTTCCCAGTTAGCAGAAACCCTCCCAAGATGTAGCTTCAAGAGAAGTCTGAAGATTTTACACTTTGAACTCAAGAGTAGGAACACAGTAATCCCTGGTCACAATGCACTGCTCTGCACATGACAAATGCTCCATAAATACTACATGAGTAACAGTCAACATTTACCAAGTGCTGGGAACCAGGCACTGGGTGGAATGTTTTATAGGCATTATCATATTTAATCCTCACAACTCCATCAGCGACAAAAGACAATTATCTCCGTTAAGCAGATGAAGAAACCACGGCTTTTCGAGGTCACACAAGGTGGATCCAGGAGGCCTGGCTCCAGAATCCACTTTCTTGACTACCATGTCACTAGGCTCTGTCAGGTGAGCTAAAGGATAGGTTAAGAGAATAAAACTTTTGTGCCCCTATCATGTGCAGACTGCTGTCCTTCAATCACCAGAACCTGGGGACTAGCTAAGTGATTTCCAAACACTCACCCCTCCCCCAGTTTCTGGATGAAGAGGTAGCGCTTATTGTCAATGATGACAGTTCCCCGAGAGCAGACACACAGCGCGTGGCCCATAGTGTCTCAGTCATCCTCCTCAAGGGCGGTCTGAGGTGGCCGACAGCTTCGTCCAAGTTAAGTGGGCTCTTCCAGGCGATGCGCTGGGGGCCCAGCGGATCATGCTGGAAGGAAAAGAATAGCAGGGTCGTGGGTCAGGCACGATCCAGACGACCCCTGCAGTACCAATGTGGAGAGCGGGCGCCCGGGTCTCGGAACGTAGAGAAAATGCGCTCTGGCGACGCCAGCTCCAAGAAGGGTGGGGTCAGGTGCCTTAAAGCCTCCGGCCACGCAGCGACTGCAAGGCCGCTTCCTCCAACCCAGCCCACCTTTGAGCGGCCCCCGCTCCCACGGCCGTCGGGGCGCCACGGCAGGGCAGAGGGTAGTTCGGCGGGGTGCGAGGTCCGGGCCCACCCCTGGCAGAGGCCACCCCCGGGAAGGGCCCATCCCCAGCCTCGGCGCGCAGAGCCCGGGGCGGGGGAGGGGGGAGCCAACCCGGACACCCCACTGACCTGGCTCGGGCTGGAGAGAAGCGCCGGGGACCGGAAGAAGTGCATACGTCATCAGGCCGCGCCGGCGTAACGGCCCGCGGTATCCTAGCAACCGCTGGGCATCGGGATAATGTGGGGGCACGGAGCCGAGAGGCCGGGGCCGGGCTAAGCCTGGGGAGGGAGGGTCCCAGGACCCGGGTGAGGGTTCCACACCTGGCCTTCAGGGGTCAAGACGCAGGCACCCACGCCAAAGGGGAGCAAAGCCGGGCTCGGCCCGAGGCCCCCAGGACCTCCATCTCCCAATGCCGGAGGTAGGAAGCTGACTACAGTCCAGCCCCGAGGGGCGGGTGCTGGGGCGCGTGCTGGCGGCCTGGACCCCTACCCCCTACAGCTCTGATCAATACAACCTTGGGGGCTCTGGCTTGTATCCCACTACCCTAGTTAGAGTGGTTAAGAGCTTAGGCTTTTGAACCAGATTAGGTTCTAAATCCTGTCTTAATAGCTTAGTTACTAGCATTGTGGCCCTGGACCATTTAACCTCTCTGAGCCTCAGTTTCCCTAATTGTAAACAAGGTATAATAGTACCTAAGATTAAGTGCACGTACTGTAAGGCCAGACTGCCTAGTTCAAATCCCAGCTCTGCTAAACCAGTTGTGGGACCTTGAACGGGTTATTTAAAATTTGTCTCTCAATTTCCTCATCTGTAGAATGGGAATGATAATTACCAACTGCACGGAGTTTTTTGAAGATTAAATGAGATGTAAAGTGCTTAGCACAATATCTGATGTAGCCCTCAGTTAGTGTCAATAAACAAATTACTATTATTTTTATTACTATTTTATTTTCTTATTCTGGTCCTTACATCCCAGGCTTGGGACTGTGAAGGCAGGACTCATGGAAATTCATAAATTCCCAAGCCTTGGCACCAAGTAGTTCTCCTTGACATCTCTCACACAGGCAGGCAGGGATAGACTGAAGAGCAGTGCACATCCAAAGAAGAAGGAATGGCTGAGGCGGTCTCTTTTGCTGTAACAGGGCCACCAGGAGAAAGATCCCTCTTATAACTTGGTCCCCCACTTTCATACCACTGGGAAGATCTGGTTTCTCTTGGTTCTGAACCTGTTTTAGCTCCCTGGTTCTGACATTCATTCATCCAGATTTAACCTGCTATGTGCTGGGCCCTGTGCTAGAAGCTGAGGATTCAAGATGGACAAGGTACTCTTCACCCTCAGGGAGCTCAGTTTAGTAGGACAGTGCTTCTCAATCTTGAATGTCTTTAGGATCGCCTGGGAATCTTGTTAAAATGCAAATTCTGATCCTATAGGTCTGAGGTAGGACCTGAGACTCTGCATTTCTAACAAGCTCCCAGGTGACGCTGATGAAGTGGATTCAAGATGTAGAGGATTTTTACAAACGTAGAGTAGCGGGTGGACAAGTCCAGGCTACTGGCCTGGCAACTTGAGGTGGTCCCCGCCCCCTTGCTCGCTGAGGTTCCCTCCCAGGAATCCGCCACGTGACAGTCGGACCGCCCTCTCAGACTAGAGGAGCCCCTTTAGCGCCATGGCTCCCAAGAAGCCGCTCCGCCTTCCTGTCCTGCTGTTACCACTTCTGATGCTGCTGCCCCAGGTAAAATGACAGGATTGAATCCCAGCAGGCTGGGTGTGGTGAGGCGGGATGAGATCTAGCCCGGGAGAGAAGGAAAGTGAAAATCACAGAACAACGGGCAGGCTAGTTCCATCTCCTCTCTGGACACTGACCGCCCCCACCCTCCCGACTCCAGACCTCTGCTGAGCCTGATCTCTCTCTTTGCAGGCAGACACTCGGTCATTCGTAGTGGATCGGGAAAATGACAGATTCCTCCTAGATGGGGCCCCGTTCCGCTACGTGTCTGGCAGCCTGCACTACTTTCGGGTACCACGGGTGCTTTGGGCAGACCGGCTTTTCAAGATGCGAATGAGTGGCCTCAACACTGTACAGTTGTAAGAAGTGCTCAGGAGAGCCATGGAGGGTGGGATTTACCCTTCCTACCACGCCCATAAGAAGGGGATTGGGACAGGAAGCCTAGCTTGGTATGAGAGCTCCAGGGCTTTCAGGCCAAGGGTGGGAAAGGGTGGACCAGGACCTCCTTCTAACAGCTTCCTGGAGATTCCCTGCAAGGCCTGAGCCCTTAGGCCTCTCAGCACCTCCCTGCCTGGGGCCCTGTTAACCTTTTTCTTTCTCAGTTATGTGCCCTGGAACTACCATGAGCCAGAGCCTGGGGTCTATAACTTTAATGGCAGCCGGGACCTCTTTGCATTTCTGAATGAGGCATCTGTAGCGAACCTGTTGGTCATACTGAGACCAGGACCTTACATCTGTGCAGAATGGGACATGGTGAGTTAGGAGAAGGGACAGAACCAGAGCCACTCCTGTGCAGTTCCTCCACTCCTCCCATCTGCCTGCACTGTAGGGCCACTTCCAGTGCTAGACTCAACATCCTCCCTTCTTACCTCCCCTCCCCGACTCCCAAACAACAAAACCTGCTGTCTTTATATTCGTCTCAGGGGGGTCTCCCAGCCTGGTTGCTTCAAAAACCTGATATACATCTGAGAACCTCAGACCCAGGTGAGTTGAGACAACATTTTTAACACAGAAAAAACGCAACCAACAGCAACAAAATGGGTAGTTTGGGTCCCCAAAACCGAAGAGACCATCCCCACACTGGAGATCATTCATGCAGATATTTGTTTCCATCAGGCCTAGCAAGATGCTACAAACTGAGGGACCAGATAGACCCAGCCCCTGTGCCGTGGAGCTTATGGTGAAACAGCTTTTTAAAAAACCAAAACCTGTAAGATTAGCGTAAGCTGTAAAAATACCACCCGAATATAGACGAGTTGAGATCGTGAGTAACAGGGAAGGCCTGTTTGGGGTAGGGAGGCCGGAAAAGGCTTTTCTGAGATGATGACACTTCACTTGACTCTAGGGAAGGGAAAGCGCTGGTCATATGAAGAGTGAGGTGACAACGACCAGGTAGAGGGAACAGTATATTCTAAAACCCAAAGGTGGGAAAGAACATGGCCTGGTTGAGGCCAGCTTGGCTGGAGCATAGCCGGTAAGGGAGAGAGGAATGTGACATGAAATTGGAGATAGATAGGGGCGCCTGGGTGGCTCAGTCGTTAAGCATCTGCCTTCGGCTCAGGTCATGGTCCCGGGGTCCTGGGATCGAGCCCCACATCGGCCTCCCTGCTCTGCGGGAAGCCTGCTTCTCCCTCTTCCACTCCACCTGCTTGTGTTCCCTCTCTCGTTGTGTCTCTCTGTCAAATGAATAAATAAAATCTTAAAAAAAAAAAAAAAAGAAATTGGAGATAGATAGGGACTGTTCATGCAGGACCTAGTAGGCCACTGTAAGGGTTTGCATCTTATTCTAAGCACAGTAGAAAGCCATTGGAAGAGCCTAACCAGACAGGTTTGATTTGTTTTCAGATTACTTTAGCCTGGATGTGGAGAATGGAGGGAGGGGAGTAAGGGTGGAGGTGGAGAAACGAATTGGGAGACTCTGACTGTAGTTGAGGAGGGAGTGATGGCTCCCGGACTAAGGTGATGGAGGTGGAGATGAGAAGAGGGCAGAATTGGAGATGTAGGTTGGAGATCAAAATCCCCAGGACTTGTTGATAGATTCTGACGGGAAGGAGAGGAGGGGTGGGAACAGCATGGGCATGGTCTGGAAAGAAAGCGGTCCCCTTTCTGGCCAGTCAAGATGGTGCCACCATTTACTGACATAGGAAAGATGGAGGAGACTAGGGGCGGCAAAGGACGACCTTTTTTGGGGAAAAACAGTTCGTCTGGTCATGTTAAATTTCTGTCCTATCACACTCAAGTGAGGATGTTAAGTAAGCCATAGGCTGTGTGAGTTTGGCGCTCATGGGGAGGTCTGAGCTAGAGATAAATTTGGGACTCATCAGTCTAAAGTTGGCATTTAGATCCATGGCTATTGCAACATTGCCTGAGGAAAGAGCATAGGGGGAGAAAAGATGAGAATTCAAGATTAAGCTCTGAAATGCCCAATACTTTCAAGGAGTTTGGATTTTACTTCAGGTGTAAATAGGAAGTCATCAGAGCAAGGGAGTGATTTTATCTGATTTATATCTTTTAAAAAGATCACTCTGGTAAAAATGCTTTGTATTTGCTGGGGACCCTGCGGGGACTCTTCCACTTCTGAGGGCACTGAAGAGCTTTATGCCCCCCAGAGCAACTCCAACTCAGCTGGCTATGAAATACATTTGAAATGGTAAAGTCATGCTGGAACACCTGCATGCGGTGTCCACTTTTCTCAAGAAAGCCAGGGCGCCTGGGTGGCTCAGTCGTTAAGCGTCTGCCTTCAGCTCAGGTCATGATCCCAGGGTCCTGAGATCGAGCCCCTCATGGGGCTCCCTGCTCAGCGGGAAGCCTGCTTCTCCCTCTCCCACTCCCCCTGCTTGTGTTCCCTCTCTTGCTGTGCCTCTCTCTGTCAAATAAATAAATAAAATCCTAAAAAAAAAAAAGAAAAGAAAAGAAAAGAAAGCCAGCGACCTCTTCACTCCTGAGTCCACAGTCCCTTTTCCAGGCCTCTCTCCTCCTTGGCCAGTCAGGAGCACCCAGCCCAGCTGTTCACTCCATCTTTTGACATACACTCTCCTCTTGGCTTCCAAGATACCACCTTTATCTGGTCCCTGCTCCTTCCCTGTGCCCCAGCCTTGCTGACCACTCCTTATTAGTCTCTTTTGTTTGTTTTAAAGATTTTATTTATTCATTTGAGAGAGAGTCAGGGAGGCAGAGCCTGAGAGAGAGAGATCACGAGTGGAGGCGGGGGGAGGGGATTACAGGCGGAGAAGCAGGCTCCCCGCTGAGGGTGATGAAAAGTAGCTGAATTCAATATATTTTGAGAGTAAAGCAGCAAGGTTTTCTGATAGGTTGAATGTGAGGTGGGAGAGAAAGGCATGAAGAATTACACCACAGTGCTTAGCCTGATTAGTTAGAAAATGGAGTCACCATTAACTGAGAGGAGATCATAGGAATAGCTGGGGGAGTGGCAGGCAGAGGGAGACTAAACCTAACCCTAACCCTGCTTAGCAAGGAGCCCGACGCAGGACTCGATCCCAGGATTCTGAGATCATGACCTGAGCCGAAGGCAGACGCTTAACCCACTGAGCCATGCAGGAGCCCTCCTTCTTAGTCTCATGCTGGTTCTTCTCCCTTTCTCTTTCCGCTAGATGCTGGGGTGTTGCAGGGCTCAGTCCTTGGACGCTTCTCTTTTCTATGTGTTCACTCCTTAGACAATCTCATCCATTCTCTTGGCTTTCAATCCCATCTAATAGTTAATGACTCTGAAATAGGAATCTCCAGTCAGGGGATGCCTGGGTGGCTCAGTCGGTTAAGCATCTGCCTTCGGCTCAGGTCATGATCTCAGGATCCTGGGATCGAGTCCTGCGTCGGGCTCCTTGCTAAGCAGGGTTAGGGTTAGGTTTAGTCTCCCTCTGCCTGCCACTCCCCCAGCTATTCCTATGATCTCCTCTCAGTTAATGGTGACTCCATTTTCTAACTAATCAGGCTAAGCACTGTGGTGTAATTCTTCATGCCTTTCTCTCCCACCTCACATTCAACCTATCAGAAAACCTTGCTGCTTTACTCTCAAAATATATTGAATTCAGCTACTTTTCATCACCCTCACTAATCCAAACCACCTCTCCCACCTGGACTACTTTAATAGCTTACTTACTGGTTTCCCTTCTTTGCCCCTACTCCTCTGTTCTCGATACAGGGTGATCCTATTAAAATAGAAGTTAAATACATATCTCAGATCATGGCATTTCACTGCTTAAACCTCTCCAATAGGTTCTCATCTCATTCAGAATATGAACCATGTATTCCTTAAAATGGCCTTCATATCAGGTCCTACCTAATTGGCCCTGTCACCTCCCTGACCTCTACTCTTTTCATCATTGTTCACGCTGACCTCATTGCTGTTTTTCAAACCCACCAAGCACATTCCTGCTTTGAGGCCTTTGCACTCAGTGCTACTGCTATCTTCCTGCAGAATCACCTTCTCAGTGAGGCCTGCCCTGGGCTACTCTCTAAAATTTAAGCTCCCCCACCATTTATACCCTTCTTCCCTGCTTTATTTTTTCTCCTTGGCACTAACATACTATATATTTTAGCAATTTATTTATTGTCTGCCTTCCTCATTGGGAAAGAAATTCTACAAGGGCAGAGACTTTTATCTATTTTGTTCTATTCTGTATCCCTAACACCTAGAACATTGCGTGGTGCACAGTAAGCACCCATAAATATTTGTTGAATAAGATTTAACATATGCTTGGATTAAAGGAGGCAGTTACATCTGGACACCCTTTATACAGAACACAAAATGTAAAGGAATTCAGTGTTCTTGTTTTTTAAAGATTTTATTTATTTATATGTCAGAGAGAGAGAGAGAGAGAGAGAGAGAGCACACAAGCAGGGGGAGCTGCAGGCAGAGGGAGAAGCAGGCCCCCTGCTGAGCAAGGAGCCCGATGCAGGACTCGATCCCAGGACCCTGAGATCATGACCTGAGCTGAAGGCAGACGCTTAACTGACTGAGCCACCCAGGCGTCCCTAACATTTTTCTTATGTTTAAAAATTAAATTTACAAACACTGCTTTAAGGTTTCCTGTGCTTAGATGGCCTTGCCATGCAAATTCACAAGTGCTCAGGGTTCAGAGTCACTGATGCTCAGATTCATTTGTGGACGGTGGGATGCAAACTGTAGCTCAGGGTTCAGGCAGCACTGAGGTTGCTGGCCTTGATGGGTGGGGGCTGCGAAGGTGGTGTCCTAATGTGCAGACTACTGCTCCTTCCTTTAGACTTTCTTGCCGCAGTGGACTCCTGGTTCAAGGTCTTGCTGCCCAAGTTATATCCATGGCTCTACCACAATGGGGGCAACATCATTAGCATTCAGGTACAAGTTGACCGGGCAAGGGGAAGGAGGCGCCGGGGGTCCTAACCTCCACTGCATAGCCAAGCTCCACTTTTCCTTCTCCCTGGCAGGTGGAGAATGAATATGGTAGCTACAGAGCCTGTGACTTCAGCTACATGAGGCACCTGGCTGGGCTCTTCCGTGCGCTGCTAGGAGACAGGATCTTGCTCTTCACCACAGATGGGCCTGAAGGACTCAAATGTGGCTCCCTCCAGGGACTCTATACCACTGTGGATTTTGGCCCAGGTCTCCTGAGCAAGGGTGGAGTGGAGTCTGGGGAAGGGGGAGCGTCTCTTCTATGTTTATCTTTCACCTTCACCTCCTTTCTGCAGCTGACAACATGACCAAAATCTTTGCCCTGCTGCGGAAGTATGAACCCCGTGGGCCACTGGTGAGGAGCTGGAGGGGAGGGCAATCAAAGCTGGAGTCAGGGTTGGGAATGGATCGAGCTCAGTTCCTATCCCGCTCCCGGCTTTCACTCCACGTTTTAGGTGAACTCCGAGTACTACACAGGCTGGCTGGATTACTGGGGCCAGAATCACTCCACGCGGTCCGTGTTGGCTGTGACCACAGGCCTAGAGAACATGCTGAAGCTGGGAGCCAGTGTGAACATGTAACTGGAGACACGGGGGTCAACATGAAGCCGTAACGGGGTGTTGGGGATAAAAATGATTCAGTGGGTCAGCTTTTGCCTTTCCCTCCACCTTCCCCCACTTCAGGTACATGTTCCACGGAGGTACCAACTTTGGATTCTGGAATGGTGAGTCCAGATGGTCCCTGGGGTGGAGGCAGGGAGGCATCAAGGAATTAGAATCCTAGGGCTGGGTAGATTAGGAGGTCTAGAAGCTGGATGTGGCCACCACTGCTCCCTCTGATGGCAAAATTTTCTGCATGAATGTCTTTGCTTAGTGCCTATTGTTTGAAAGACACTGAATGAAGGAAATTGGTTTGACCCCAGGTGCTGATGAGAAGGGACGCTTTCTTCCAATTACTACCAGCTATGACTACGATGCACCAATATCTGAAGCAGGGGACCCCACACCTAAGCTTTTTGCTCTTCGAAACGTCATCAGCGAGGTGCCCTACCACTTCATTAAGCGCCAAAGGCTCTTATTAAATTGGGGAAAGGGAGTACCTAAATTGTTTGTAATGGGATCCCATAAATCAGATTGTTGTCTGGGCCATGGAGCCCACAGAACCATTTCCCAGCTACCCAGATGGGACTACCTGGGAAGATACACTCAAGCATGTGCAAATTTACAGATCTTCATGACCCCTTGAAGCCCTTCCCTGGACCCCAGGTTGAGAACCCTGTGCAAGGATCTTGGAATAGGGGTTGTGTGTGTGCTAGGGTCTTGGAATAGGGGTTGTGTGGTTTTCCTATGGCTCCTGAGGGAATTTGGGCTCAGTTCCAGGAAATTCCCTTGGGACCTTTACCTCCCCCCAGCCCCAAGATGATGTTTGGACCTCTGACCCTGCATCTGGTAAGCTCTTCCTCATCTTTTCTCTGATCCTACCCCTTTGTTCTCTAAATGGCCCAGCCATTCTGCCCTCTATTCCGGAACTTCCCTTTTATTCTAATATCTTCTCCTTATTCTAATAGGATGGGGATTTGCTGGCTTTCCTAGACTTCCTGTGCCCCCAAGGGCCCATCCGTTCAATCTTGCCAATGTCCTTTGAGGCTGTCAAACAGGTAAGGCATAATCCCACATCCAGTAGGCACGGCAGCTTTCCTCAACAGCTGTAGCCAGTGGTTCCCTCAGCTGCGCATCTTCGCCATAGTATCCTCTCTGACCTCTCAGGTCATCTTAAGTACTTACTCTTCCATACCCAGGACCGTGGCTTTGTGTTGTACCGGACCTATCTGACCTATACTGTTTCTGAGCCAACACAGTTCTGGGTGCCTAACAATGGAGTCCACGACCGTGCCTATGTGATGGTAGATGGGGTAAGGACCTAATTCTAGGTTACCCTGTGCGCCTGTCTCTTCTCCTCCCCAGCACCCTTTAGCCTTAAGTTCCCCTTATCTGCCTTTTCCCGCTGTCTGCCTCCATTTGCAGGGGGGGCCACGGATAAGCTGGGATGAGGAAGAATTTGACTGAGGCTAAGGTTCCAGAATGCATGGGTAACTGACAGATAGGCTACATTCTTTTTGCTCTCCAAATACGTGTGCTAACTACCATAGCTTCCTCTGTCATGGCCATGAGTTAGATGCCGAGCCCTTCCTCTCACAGCTCGTCTTATCCACAGGTGTTTCAGGGTGTTCTGGAACGAAACATGAAACACCAACTATTTTTGATGGGGAAAGTAGGGGCCAAAGTGGACATCTTACTGGAGAACATGGGGAGGCTCAGTTTCGGGTCTAACAGCAGTGACTTCAAGGTGAGCTAGCCTTGCCCACCCCTTCTCTTCCAGACTCTTACTGACCAAACTCCCTTGGGAAAATAGGGGCCTAATGGAGGACAAACAAGAGCCCTGTGCTTAGGAGTCAGGCAGCAAAGTAGTCGCTTGTGGGGGTCCAGACATGGCCACCAGCTGCACCCCAGGGCTTGATTAGGGACAGTGTGGACTTAAGAGCTTAAGGAATGATGAGTTTTCATTTGCCTTCTTCACAGGGCCTGTTAGAACCCCCAATTCTGGGGCAAACAGTCCTCACCCAGTGGCTGATGTTCCCTCTGAAAGTTGATAAGCTTGTAAAGTGGTGGTTTCCCCTCCAGTTGATGAAAAGTTCACGTCCTCAAGTTCCCTCTGGCCCCACCTTCTACTCCACAACGTTTCCAATTTTAGGAGAAGGCGGGGACACTTTTCTCTTTCTACCTGGATGGACCAAGGTACTGCTGACCGTGGGGTCAGAGTGATGAGAGGAAAATCATGAAGGAGGGGGGAGCAGAAATTATCCCTGATTAGAAACCCAAAAGGGAGGGGCTCCTGGGTGGTTCAGTCGGTTGAGCATCTGACTCTTGATTTCGGCTCAGGTTGTGATCTCGGGGTCGTGGGATCGAGCCCCGCGTCAAGCCCCATGCTCAGCACGTGGAGTCTGCTTGGGATTCTCTTTCCCTCGCCTGCTGCCCCTCCCCACTGCACTCTCTCTCTCTCTCTAATAAATAAATCTTTAAAAAGAAAAGAAAGAAACCCAAAAGGGGATGATTCTACCCCCTTGTGAGCTGACCCTTTTATTTTCCGCTCTCTTTTCTCTTCCCCAGGGCCAAGTCTGGATCAACGGGTTTAACTTGGGCCGGTACTGGACAAAGCGGGGGCCACAAGAAACCCTCTATGTGCCAAGACCCCTGCTGCTTTCTGCGGGAGCCCTCAACAAAATCACAGTGCTGGAGCTAGAAAACGTGCCTCCTCAGCCCCAAATCCAGTTTCTGGATAGGCCTATCCTCAACAGCACCTTGCATAAGACATACATCTATTCCCTCTCAGCTGATACACAAAGTACCTTTGAACCAATGGAGTTAAGTGGGCACTGAAAGAAAGGTAACCCTTGGACCTGGCACATGGAGTGGGCAGGATCCCTTGGTGTTGGCCATGGTGACCACAAGGAACCAAAGGCCACAAGGCCCAAATGCAAGTCCAAGTGCAATTTCCTTGCCAAACTTTATTGTGATTAAAGTTCCAGAGACAGTCCCAGCTCCGCACCCCTCTGTGGCCCTGTCTTTGCCCTGGTTCCTGAGTGTCCTCCCTAATCTTCCAAATACTCCTGTTTCATGGGAAAGAAGAAACCTAGGGCTAGTGTGAATGCACCCTCTCCAGGCCGAGTTGGCTCCAGGTGCAGCCGTAAGAGATCAGGAAGAGGGCTTGGTGGCCTGGCAGCGGTGATCCCGGAGGCAGCGTGTGGAGCAGAAAGAGAAGTCAAGATAGTGAAAGGGAGTGAGGCCTTGGAGGGATGTCCCACAGCTCCAGCAGCGTCTGGACAAGAGGAAGACAGATGGCTGAACAGGTACCCCAGAAACTTTCCAATCCAAGCTCTCCCCACCCCTCGGGCCATTTCCGGTTTTGCTCCAGAGGGTTCCCAGAACATCTCCAGCACCCCCACCCCCGACAGCCTTTCTGAGGTACTCGGCAGCACTCATTCTACTTGCCCACTCCTGGCCTGGTCATCACGCCTGCCCCTGCACTTACGGACCACTGAGGGCTGCAGAGCTGGGGGTCTGCGGGGGTGGGGCTCCCAGCTGCGCAGCCAGCCGGCGCTCTGCGGCCAGAGCCCTCTGAGGGAAAGAGAAGTCTTGTTAAGGACAAGGCCTCAGTGGCGGACAGGGTGCCCAAGGGACAGCTGCACACTGGGAAGGGGTCAAACCTCTAAGGAAATCGGGGCTGCGGAAGAGAGAAGCTCCGGCCTCACCTTCTCTCGGTCGCTGAGGGCGGCAAAGCGCTGCTGCTCTTGCTGCTCCTTCTCCTCCTGCTCCCACTGCTTCCGCTGCCGTTCCTCCCGCTGCCGCCGGGCAGCCTTCTGCTCCCTTTTCCGCATAGCCTGCCGTGCCTCCATTTCTGGCGTCAGCGGCCCTGGCACCTGGAGGATTTCCGGGGAGGTGTAAGGTAAGACCCATACAAACTGTCCTAGGAAAACTAGAAGAAAGTAGAAAAGATCTTAGCCAGGATCTAGGCTGCCTTCCTACTCTGCTGCCGCTTCCTTTTCCAGCTGACCTGAGCCTTGCTGTAATCGTAAGCATCTGGATTCTTCTCCATGAACCTTCGGAACTCATTACGCGTTGGCTTGTCAGCTGCAACCGTATATGGTGGCCGGGCCCGGGAGTCCCTAGGTGTGAAAAGCCCCAAATATGGGTTCAGCTTGCCTCCTGCACCTCCCAACCTCCCCCAAACAGATCAAGGGGAATACCGTCAAGTAGCCAGTACCAACGTTAGCCTCCAGACGGTCCTCTCTATACCCCAAAGGGCTCACTCAGCTTGGGGACTCTTACTTACTGCACGGTAGGGTCGGCACCTGCCTCCAGCAGCAGGCGAACCACTGAGCCTCTCCCAGCTGCAGCTGCTGCATGCAGGAGGGTGAAGCCACTGGAGCCCAAGGGGGCACTGAGCAGAGACAGAACTCCAGGGCCTATGGGGCCGGCAGCTAGCTGGAGTTTCAACATCCCAACATCTCCGGCTCGACAAGCAGCTAGAAGCATGTCCCAGAGCTCTGACTGATCGGGGGTCTTGGCCTCATCCAGGGAAGGCCCCAAAGGGGCTGCGTGTGCCTGGGCGGACTGTGAGAAGGCCTCATCATCTCCTTGAGGTTGCTGGGGAAGAGTCCCATGCGCCCTGGCCTCCAGGTCTCTGCTTCTCTCCTTCTTATTCCTTTTCCTCCTCCTCCGCTTTGGCAGTACCTCAAACTCACGAAGATCCAGGGTCCCCACTGTCAACTCTACTAGCTCCAACTCTACCTGGAAGCTGTCCTCTCCCTCCGACTCTGAACCTAGGGAAAAATGCTACATGTTAGGTCCACCTAAAGAAATACACAGAGGGTGGAAGGATGTGGGCTGCCCCAGATGTATGAGAATGTACATAAAAAGAGAATCCAGATTGTCTTGAAATGAAAATAAGTATTTGTATTTTGTCATCCAAGATCAGCACGTCAAGAGCTGAATCCAATAATATCACACGCAGAAATGAGGCTCAGCTCAGAGGGAAAGACCCAGCAGAAGGTTTGGAGGGACAAGCGTCCTTAGACTCTCCCCTCGAGCCACATTAGGATGGTACACAACAGGGGAGAGCATGGGAGCACTGACAGCCACAACCGCTGAGTCTGCCCCGGGGAAAGCAGGCCTCGGTCCAAACCGCAGCATCCGGTGAGACAGCAATTTTGTGAGATTCGTGCCACACAAGCATCTGTTTCACGTACTATTTCGTGTTTTCTAAGTACTGGGGATACATCAGTGAACAAAACAGAACAGGAAGCTTGGAAAGGTCACTAAACCCGTCTCAGTAATTGCTACCAGGTGCCCCTTATCATAACAGACGTGTGTGTGTGTGTGTGTGTAATGCTGTATGTGTTGTGTAAGGGCTCATTATAAAGAGAGAAGCAGCAGCAGATTTGACACTGCATTTCCAGGATAGACACCCAGAGAGAGTTGACAGTTGCCAGATGGTGCTCAAACCCTGTTTGGGAGATTCCTCATTCTGCCCAAGGGCCTCATTTTCATCACTGGAGACCTTTCTTTCTGCCTCGATAGCCTTCTTCCCCCCTCTCGTCTTCCAGTGTGTCTGAGGTGACTCCAACCTGACTGTCTCCCGGGGGTCTTCTCCTGCCATAAAACAAAAGATGTTTCTCAAGTTTACCTGAGCAGAAGCCAGCCCAGGTCTCTCTCAATGAAGATGTTGTCTGGGTGTATAAATGAGAACTCAAGGCTTGGGCTGGAAGGTACAAGATCTAGGGAGTCTGGGGATCCGGATCAAAAGCTCACCATGGACATGCAAGGTGGTCAGCTTATGGAGCACACGCTGTAGCTCTCGGAAGGTGGGTCTGCGGGTAGCGAGGGGGATATCCCAAAGTCGGGGATCCCCCCGTTGCAGGGGTGCCCCATGGCCTCCGAAGAACAGGGACCGGCCAGAGCGGGGAGCACGCAGCAGTACTGTCCCAGCCTCCCCCAGCGCTTTAGCCCAGACTGGCCCTGCCAGCAGGTCACGAACATCCTAGAGAAGAGAGTAACTCAGACCCATGTATTTTCACTTGCTATTTTTAAATCTCCAACCAAAAAACCAGCCCACAGATGATGTGTAAGGAATGGGAAGCAGAAGATAATATAGAGGAAGAAAGAATGAGAGGATGAAGACTCTTGGGGATCCATCCCTAGTCTACCTTCGCCTTTCCAGAAATAATGAAGACTGGGAGGAGGCAGGCATCAAGCTCCCCACTGTAACATTTGATGAGAGGGAAAAAAGTAGATTAGCAGACCACCAGATCTGAGACGCCTAACTCACCTTGTATAACGTGGCTTCATTATGGCGCCTCAGGTTGGCTCCGGCAGAACGAGAAGCCCCACCCCGGGCATCCCGAATTCCCTGGGCTGTGCCCCGCTTGGCCCGCACTGTGTAGCGGTGAAAGGTTTTGTGGGTCACCATGTCTCTTCTGTAGACAACACAGACTCAGTGCTGGAAACCAGCCCGTACACCCAGGCTAACCGGACCCACTGCATCCTTATACCCCAGGCAGCACCCTCTCACCCTTGGAAAATGGCTCCAGCAAAGTGCCCAGCTGCAGCCATGAGCACCACAGAGTGTCTGGGACCTCCGTTTTGCAGGTTGTGTAGCAGCAGTTCAGGTTCTTCTGGGGGCACCTGGATGACAGAGGGACAGCACAAGCATGCCCGTGGCACGCACTCACAGGAAGAAACCCAGTGCCAAGTGTCTTACATGCGTGATCCCATTTCTTACAGCCATCCTGAGGCTTGTCTCCACTTTACAGACAAGGAAATTTGAGGCTTGTAGAGGTAGTCAAATCAAGTGGTAGAACAGCAATTCAAACCTAGACTGGTCTGTTTCCAAACTTAATTCCATTATACTGGACCCCAGATTCAGGCCAATTCAGTCCAAGACTGTGCTGTCAGTGGTGATACCCATATCCAACAGAAAGAAAAGAAGTAAGAAATGGCCCAGGCTTAGGGGAGACCTAGGCTGAGTGCATAAAGGTTGCAGTTGGCCACAACCTGGGCCGCCACTTGCCTGGTGAGGGCCCAGCACACAGCGATAGGCATAAAGAAACTGGCCCCGAGCGTTTTGGAAAAGAACCCGATGGGGGTGGAAGCCTTGGGGTCTGCTGGGCTTCTCAAACTCAGCCCTCTCCTCATCTGGTATCTGCAAGTCCTCCTCACTGGCTGAGTCTGAGTCCTCTGATCCTGAGATGCTGGAAAGATCTCCTGAAAAAAACATGAAGTGCACAAGTTTGGTGTGCCATCTTTGACCTTTCCCCAAGCTCCTAAACTAGGGCCTTCCTCCATCCCCATGTCCTACTCAACACAGGTCTCCTACCAACCATCACCTGTGGAACTCTGCTTTTCAAAATCCAGGGCAGACAGGAGAGGCTTGTCCTTGAGACGTTGCTTTAGGTTAAACCGATGCCAGTCAAGCTTATAATGTTCCCTCTGGTAGGAGGCAAAGAAAGAGGCTGAGTGTGGAAATATGCCCTAGCCTGGCCCTTTGTGGTACCCAAGACCAATGACAGAACCCCAGAAAGTATGACCAGGTAACACCAACGGCTTCAGTCAAAACACCGACTTTTATTAATGAAAGACAAACCACATGTCTGCCTCTCCTCACCCACCCTATACTTTTGCTTCTGCCATTTAGCTCTGCACCTGGCCTTTTACCTGCTCCTGGTGGTTGTGGAAGTTCTGGTCACAAGTGGAACAAAATAACTTGTCTGAAATATCCAGCGGACCCTGGAGTGGTTTTCTTTCTGGGCTTGCTGTCTCCCCTGAACCTAAATAAGGGGAGGGTAATAAGAGGTGGAAAGGGAGTACAAACCTGCAGTACCTGGAATGACATTCAGTGTCTGATATACAAAGGAGGATACAAAAGAAAAAGATGGCACATCCTTTCCTTCAAAGAGTTTGCCATCTAGGAATCACGAGATAAACAGCACAGTAATCACTTTATACAAGTATGCTTCTGAAGAGATGTGAGACAAATACACATCAAATACTTGACATTAACTAAAGGGACTGTTTAGAGGAACCCTGTAGAAAATAATTTTTGGTAACGTTAAGATTATTTTTAACTGCAAAAACCACTTCCCAAATGCCTGTGGTTTTTTTTAGCTTACATTTCCAATTACGGTGTGGTTTGTTTAAAAAAAAAAGTTCAAGAACAGCCAGAGGCAAATTAAGGTTGTAAAAAAAAAAACAAAAAATTGTTTTACATTCATTAAGAACGAATGATTTGATTTGAAACCCTACTTAAATTTGGACTATATCTAGGAATTTTGAAGTTTTTTGCGGGCAGTGCTGTAAACGTGACCAGACCTAAGCAATGGCAAGAGGCTTGTTTGGAGACAGTTCGGGGGCCTGTGCTGGAAACAACCCGGAGATTGAGTGAATTTAAGATAAATTTTATCCAGTAGAAAGCGATGTCAACAAGGGCTCTTAAACCGGGGAATATCAGTAAGAATGTGTTCCCTGGACGAGCAATAAACTCTAAAGAGCCTGTCACGTTCTTCGTGGGTCCTCCCCAAACCTTCCCAGATACCTGGACAGGAAGTCCGCAGAGCCTGGGCCAGAGCCTCCCCAGAAGGGTGGCTCACCAGGCTGAGGCCCTGAAGGATCGGAGCATCCGCGTTGAGGTCAAAGAGGGAGACCAACGTAGGAACCTGGGTTGCTGCTGAAACCGGCGACATAGCTGAGCAGAAATTCTTTAGGAGGAGCTCCTGGAGCAGAAAGGGACAGAAACAGAGCTCCCCAGAGTGCGATCCTACCGCCCGGTCTCCTGCCTGCCTGACTTGGTCTCCCCCACGCCGCAAAGCACCTCGGGCCTCACTCTGGTACCAGGAGTCCGCTCTGGGGGTTAATACGTGACCCCAGGCCGCTTTCTCAAACGCACAGTCTCGGACCACACAGAGTGAAAGGGGGAAGCAACCAGCTCCCAAATCGAGTCCAGTAGAGCTAAAAATCACTGAGGTTCCCTAAGCGACCGCTCCTCGATACCCGCGCGATGAGCTCCAGCAATGACTAAACCGCGTGGACTCGCCCCCACCCTCAGGAGCGGCACCAAAGGTCCCGGGGAGCCAAGCGGCACGCACGTTTACAATTCCAAGCCCGGATTTCTGCAACACCACAACAATCTCCTCACTACGGAGCAGCGAAGGGGACAAATGGCGTCGCCCACACCTCAGCCCCGCCCCACACAGCGCGCACTATTGGTCCTCTGACTGTCCAAAACCCACCTCGAACCTTTAGTCCCGCCCCCGAAGCCGAGTATTGGCCATCGTGTCTCCACCCCCTATGCTCATTGGCCAGACTGGCTGCGGGTGACAGTGAGTGGCAGGCGCCGGGCCTAGAGCTCTGGGTCCCGACGAAACGAGCGGAGCCGACCGAGCCCCTGGAATCGCTCGGGTCACGGTTCCTGAGGTGAAACCCGAGATCGTTTACTGGATTCCCAAGGCCCGGGCCGGGCCTGACGGAGGGTGCCCGCGGAGCCCTAAGTGAGCTCACAGCGAGTAACGGGGGAAGGGGCGCCGCGGGAGGGGCGAAGGCGCGCAGCCGGAATGTTTTGATGGCGGGGACGCGCGGGCGGGGGCGCGCGCGGGCGGCGGGGCCGCGCGCGAGGTTGTCCGCTGTTGGGAGCCGAGCCCTTGGCCTGGCGCCGGGCGACCCTGGGGCGCGCTGGGCTCGGGTCTTGGCGGCTGGGTGTAGGGAGGCAACCCAGCCCACCTGGGTGATCGGCTGTCGGACTAGCTCGATTCTTCCAACATCCGCAGGAAACCCTGAGCCCAGGCCCGGCCAGCCGGGGCTCCATGACCCTGGGTCCACACTGACCCGGTGAGTGGTGAACTCCCCGAAGGTTTGGTCAGCTCCTTTGGACCCAGGGCTCTCACTAACCCAGGGAGTCCCACTGGGGCCAGGCTGGGTCGTGTTCCACGGCCCGAGGGTCTGCACTGACTGGGTGAGTGCCGCCTAGACATGCCTGGTTCCAGGGACCTAGGGACCCCACAGTTCGCCCAGGATCTGGGTCTACACGGACCCAGTCAGGATTTCCCATCCAGGAACTATATGCCTGCCTGGTGGGCCTTTGGTGCTAGGGAACCAGGGGAAGAGGTTGACCAGAAAGGCCCTTTTCAGAAGAGACTCTTTTCTTGGGTTTTGGATTTGGGGCTTTGAGGACCCCGAGAGGCCTGTCTAATTTCTGAGGCTGAGGTGGGGCAATGGAAAAACAGTCCAGAGGAGCTGCCTGACCTCAGGCCTGTACTGACTCAGTCTTTACAGGCTCAACAAGCCACTTCTTGGGATCCTAGAGTTGGATGAGTGGTCCTGTATGGTACAAGCAGAGGAAGTAATCTAGCCCTAGTGCCTCTTCCCCACTGCAGCCTCCCTGCCCCATGCTTGGCCTCCTCTTAGTGGAGGGTGGGTGGGTAGGAGGGTTGGGTTTCTTTCTTTCTATCCTCACTGCCCACTCTCTGGGGCCTGACATCTTCTCCTCCAGCAGCTGCAGAGCGAGGGCATCAAGGGCTGGAGTGGAGCAGACGCTGCCCATGGAGCTGGTAGGGCCATGTGCTTATCTCAAACCTGTTTACAAAGTGCTTCCAATCTCCCAGAAATCTCTTGGGAGACCCGGGTTTCTCCAGGAGGGCACAGGGAAGCCCCCTTATCTCTGCTGAGTAGAAGATGAAACAGCACCCCCTACCCCCCCACCCCCCACCCTTGCAAAGCGGCAGACCAGCCAGACCTCAGTAGACACTCAGTAAAGGCTCTGGGAATCACTGACCTCCCAGACCCTGAGCTTACTGCTCTCCTGTGGTAACTACTCCTCTGCCTTTGAGCCGAGAAGACTGGGAGTAGAGACCAAGCCCAGAGATTCTTTCTCACTTTTTCTGGTCTGCTAGACAGGGCAGGAGACAAGCAGCACCATGGTCTGAACCTGGATCTCTTCGTCATTCCCTGCAGGGGGACAAAGTGGACAGGGGGCGGTGGTGATGGCGCAGTTCGACACTGAATACCAGCGCCTTGAGGCTTCCTACAGTGATTCACCCCCTGGAGAGGAGGACCTATTGGTACACGTCCCTGAGGGGAGCAAATGTGAGTTCTTGGACCTGACAGCGGAGCCGGGGCCTGGGGCGGGCGCAGGTGGAGGAACACGATGGAGGGAGCAAGGGGCTCCTGTTCCTTCAGGGCTCTGACATCTCTACTCCTGTGCCCACAGCACCCTGGCACCACATTGAAAACCTTGACCTCTTCTTCTCTCGAATATCCTTTGTGTCTCTGCGTGGGAGCTCTGGGACCCGTAGCCCCCATCTAAGCTGGGCCCCGGATGGGAAGTTGGGGTGGGTTTGATTCTAATCCCCGGAAGGGAGATGGAACTCTTCTTAAGGCTGAAAGAGGCTGGGGAAATAAGGATCATTATAGATAATGATAAGCCTGCGTTTCCCAAGAGCTATGTGTCTTTCACTTTGTGGTGTCAGTTCATAAGGAACCTCTCTAAAGGTGATCTTTCTTTTTGACAGGATGCTAATAACTATAATAATTAATATCTTTTGACCTACTCTGTGTCAGCTCTGTGTTAAATACTTTATGCCCATTATCTCATGCCTAATAATCCTCTGAGACGGGTGCTATTATTTCCAAAGTGCCACTGCAGACGAAAGTTGAGAGATATTAAGTAAATTTGGCCAAAGTCACACAGCTAGAAAGTCATAGAGCCAGGAGTTAAGTTCGGGCATGTGACCCCCAAAGTCTGTGCTCCTAAGTGCTGTCTCTGTTAACCACATTTTTCTTGACAATTATACGTTTATAATCTACACCAGAAGAATGGCTTCACTTGCATGCTCATCGGGGAGATCTTTGAGCTCATGTAAGTCTAAGAAGGGACGGTGATGTGGGGAAGGACCGCCTCTCAGTCTTTCCTCTTCTTGAGCTCAGCCCTGGCCGTACCAGCCAGTGCAGCTCAGTTCCCAGCTCAAAACCCTGCAGACTAATTTTAGAGCTCAGGGACTGGGTGTGACACCAAAATTTACAATCACTTTTTTTTATCTCCCTTATAAGGAATTCTTCCCAAATCCTCTTCTCTTCCATGAAGAGAACTCAGACTTGACCATTTCATCAGCTCATCAGCGCTCCGATGGAATGGGCATGGTTCAGTCAGGAGGTCTCAGAGATGCCAGCCACTTAAGAAAAGTGTGTGTTCTGCCTTAGTTACACCTAGGAGGGCAGAGCGCTTTCTAAAAAAGAAGGAGCCATATGGCCTTGCCAAAGAGGATGGGATTGGGGGCGCCTGGGTGGCTCAGTCGTTAAGCGGCTGCCTTCGGCTCAGGTCATGATCCCAGAGTCCTGGGATCGAGTCCCACTTTGGCCTCCCTGCTCAGCGGGAAGCCTGCTTCTCCCTCTCTCACGCCCCCTGCTTGTGTTCCTGCTCTCGCTGTCTCTGTCAAATAAATAAATAAAATCTTCAAAAAAAAAAAAAAGAGGATGGGATTGGGAAACCCTCCCTCAATCAGGACAGACTGTAAATCCCCTTAGGGCTTCTAAATACTGTCTCAAAAGGAAATCAGGGATTGGGTGGCAGAGACCACAATCACAAGGTCTTTGAGCTGAGACTAGTAAGTGGTGGCAGAGATTACTATGCCGTGAGGAAAGCAGGCTAATTGTGTGACGCCCAAGGCTAAGAGGAAAAAGCGGGAGCTGGTTTGGGCCTAAGAAGGTCTCGGGGGCTGAGCAGCGGAGAGAGCCCACTGGGAGTTCTCCTGCCCCTGCTCGTCCCCAGAGGCTGCTCTCCAGTCTTGTTCTGCTGCTTCCAGACTCTTCCCTTTCCCACACTATTTCACTGGTGCCTCTCCGACTCTTGGACTGTGGCCCCTCTTCCCAATTCTCCAGGCAGTTCCTCTTTGTGGTTGCCTTCACCACCTTCCTGGTCAGCTGTGTGGACTACGACATCCTATTTGCCAACAAGATGGTGAACCATAGTCTTCACCCTACCGAGCCTGTCAAGGTCACTCTGCCAGACGCCTTTTTGCCCGCCCAGGTCTGTAGTGCCAGGTAAGGGCCACAGCTCAGAGGACACCAGAGCCAGAGTTCCACTAACAGGTGGGAAATGGAGTGTGAGACGGTGGCACATTCCCCAGAACGCAGACTTGGGCTCAGCCTCACCATATCCTTCAGGATAGCATCCTGTCTGCCAAGACTCCTCAAGGGCCTCCCCTCCCGCCACCCCCCCCTTCCTTTTCCCCACTAGGATTCAGGAAAATGGCTCCCTTATCACCATCTTGGTCATCGCTGCTGTATTCTGGATCCATCGGCTTATCAAGTTCATCTATAACATTTGCTGCTACTGGGAGATCCACTCTTTCTACCTGCACGCTCTGCGTATCCCCATGGTGAGACTGGGGAAGTTGGGCAGTTAGCGCACCACAGCCCAGTGTGCCTTCTGTGGCTTGGGTGGGGTGGGGCGTACTACTGGGCCTCGGGCATCCTCATCCGTCGCTGGCAGGTCAGGGAGCCTCTGCTTAAAGGCTCCACCCAGCAAAGCACAGGGCCTCACAGCTAATGCGGGGCGAGGAGGAGTCCAGGCAATAAGCCCGCCTTCCCCACCGTGTCTCTCTCCCACCCCACAGTCTGCCCTCCCGTACTGCACGTGGCAGGAAGTGCAGGCCCGGATTGTGCAGACCCAGAAGGAGCACCAGATCTGCATCCACAAGCGCGAGCTGACAGAGCTGGACATCTACCATCGCATCCTCCGTTTCCAGAACTACATGGTCGCCCTGGTTAACAAATCCCTCCTGCCTCTGCGCTTCCGCCTGCCCGGCCTGGGAGAGGCCGTCTTCTTCACCCGTGGCCTCAAGTACAACTTCGAGCTGATCCTCTTCTGGGGACCTGGCTCTCTGTTTCTCAATGAATGGAGCCTCAAGGCCGAGTACAAACGTGGGGGGCAACGGCTCGAGCTGGCCCAGCGCCTCAGCAACCGCATCCTGTGGATCGGCATCGCCAACTTCCTGCTGTGCCCCCTCATCCTCATCTGGCAGATCCTCTATGCCTTCTTCAGCTACGCAGAGGTGCTGAAGCGGGAGCCCGGGGCCCTGGGAGCACGTTGCTGGTCCCTCTACGGCCGCTGCTACCTCCGCCACTTCAACGAGCTGGAACACGAGCTGCAGTCCCGCCTCAACCG